TTCGAAGGAACCGTAGGTCCTGACCAAATGAAGCCCTGGATTCGTAGAGATTGACTCAATTAATCGTTTACCTATAGTTAAATGTATTTTTATTTTTTTGTAGAAAATTATAAAAGCGAATTATCTCGAGCGTGACCGAGGACGGTCAAATGGTCAGAATGGCCGACTATAGGAGTAGGATTTGAATCGCCCTCTAGCTACCGAAAAATCTTACTCCCTACTCCTTGTCTCACCGTGAGAGACCGGCGATACCGAGAATTTGGACGACGATTCCGAGCAGTCGAAATCGAGACATTGTACAAATAAGAAGCTAAAATAAAGAATTGATCGAAGCACGGTATAGTTTCTTGACGCCTGTCTGTCGAAGGAAATAGAGAATTAATAAATCGGAGAAGCCTCATCGTAAATAGGCAACCTGACAGATCGTGAATCGGAATCGACTCGCGAGTTGAATATTCGTAAGAGACGCCCTACAATATTGAATATTTATTATAAATACATTTGCATATAATGTATGCAAATTCATAAATTGCAAAGTACGGAAATATGCAATGCAATTAAGAGATAAAATTTGTAGCCCGCATTGCACGTATAGTGCGTTCTAGCATCATTTCCAAAACATTTCCGACCGGAGCACTCCATCTAAATAAAGAGCATATCTTCTACGTTGACTTGGCAACGAACTACAATGAGCATTTAGGTCATCGATTGCTTTCAAAGGACGCGGTGTCCTTTTCAAATCCTTCCGGATCTTATATATAAAGTAATTCTTAATGTCAGTATTGAATGCATATATATATAGTTAAATTATTATTATGATAATTCTTATATTTGGTGAATATAATGAAACACGTAATTTCACTCAAAAATTAAAATCCCGTTTTTATTTTTTATCGATAGTAAAAAATTTTCTACATAATAAAATTTTCCGACGATGGCTACCCAGCATGCAGACAATTTATAATAAAATTGCGTGATAAAATTTTAACTCAAATTTGATTTAAATTTGTAACAACTTGGTTCGTTGTAATAAAGTTTTACTGTGACAACAAAAAAAGTGCAGTGCGTTTAGTTGTATCCGCAATTTGATTCTATCCGAAATTAAAAATCCGGGTTATACGCGTCCAGCTGCGTATGAAATTTAATTTAGGTACATAAACATTTTTGAATATTTAATTTAAAATATATATTATAAGATAGGAATATAAAATACTTTATTAAATTTTGACATTTATTTTTGAATTACATGCATCCGGGAAATGGAGCCAATTATTGATTTGTAATATTATTCCACGTAGTGACGGGAGTTTGCTGTGATAGGCATTGCAATAAATATTTCCACCGCCGCAGTTCCCCGATCGTGGCGAGATTGTGTTACTTTTGGATGAGGCGTTTTATTTCTTCGAGAGATCTCCACGCTGCCTCCGGCGCGTTGCAACGGCGCGCTGCAACGGCGCGCTGATGTCGAAAGAGACTGTGTCGAGGGACGGATTGTGTCGTGTTCGAGAGCGTCCCCAAAGAATCGCTGACGGTGCAACGTCTCATTGTTATGTAACCGCTGTCGCACCCCACGGAAAATCACTCTCCTACCTTTCGCACCTGACGTTTCGAGCCTTCTCTCGTCTCAACATCCTAAATAACCATTCGGTTTTGTCATGGAATACCTTTCACCTTTTCCTAACATAGTTTCGCTATCGCGGGTAAAATGTATGCGACGAAAAAATGTGCGCATACAAAGTCAAATACAAGCGGCAGCCAGCAGAGTCGAGCAGTCGACGAAAACCGAGATGATGTTTGTCGTTTGAAGTGCCACTCTCGAGGGGTTCTTCGTGGCTTTAGGTACAATCTACAATACTGTGTCACAGCCTGTGTCATAGCTGCGATGAATTCTTACTTCCTTTAGCTTCTCGCCAGATTCGTGTTTTTCTGCTTATGTGTGAGTTTTGATCGCGATGGGAATTTAAAGAATACCATACTACTTTTTCGGGATCTAGCGTCACCTTTTCTACGTTATTCTATTAAACACAGAAGAGATAACCGCAATTTTTATGGAAATTGAATATAAATATAAATAATTTAAGTGTAATAAATATGAAGATATCAATTATTTATATTTAATTACACGGTCAACTCGAAATTATTTATATTGTATGCTAATATTCTGTTTTACTTTGTATTTCGCATTCACGCATAATACATACAAATTCGTCTTATAGCATCGGCAAGGAGTTGAAACTTTCAAGTAAAATTTATGTTGTAAAAAGGTTTACTTCCATTTTTTTGAATTCCTTTTAAACGATTTAACGAGCAACGTTAACCTCGCGCATATAAATTTCTCACAATCCTGATTCCACATAGATACCTACATTTATCGGGTCGCCGGTGCCATTTATCAGAATTTTCAGCGACATCGTTTTGTCCGGGATGTTCCAACGTAAGCCATAAAAGCGTCTTCGAAGCAAACATCATGCTATCGCGTTCGCGTACCACCTTATTTCCACCTCGACCACATGACGAGGCGCAAAGATATCGTAATATTCCCGCGTCTTTTTACCGCGTTCTACCAAGTAAATTGAAGTTTGTTATAAAGCCGAGAGTAGGTGAATACCAAGAAAAATACTCGCCAATCTACTTACCTTTCTCCGTTGTCTCGTTCTGACTTTTTTTTATATTTCTGCATTCTTCGCTGATCGCGAAAGTTTCGTCGACACAATCGGATAAGAAGCGATCTTGTATGAAAGCCAGGAGGGAGCTGTGGTGGAAGCGAGATATATCGCAAAAGAGCGCGCACGGTTATTGAATAAGGCAAGAAATATTGCAGGAACGCGACGTCGAAAAACTCGATGAGCTACCACTACCATCGTCATCATCGTCGATGAGGGTCGATCGGCTTTGTCTCGCTTTTTCTCGCAAGACAGCTCGCCACCCCACTCACCGCGTCGTTCATTGATTTTCTAGCCCCGAGCACTCTCGATATAGTATTACGGTAATACGTCGCAAACTAGTACAGAGTGCGCGTGGAAATTGGTAAACAGACTTCGTGAAAACCGGCCAATTGTTGTCATTCGCGAAAGCGTAGTCGAGAAAAAGTAGTTTCGCGCGTGATATCGTGAAGAATAAAAGTTTCGATTCGAGAAAGCATGACGAAAATGCACTAGAAATTGTCGCAACTTTGGGTGTAAAAAAAATTTGACGAATGATCATTTTTCTTGCACTCATTCGGGCTTATATAACTGATAAAATAGTGTAACATTAGAGAGATTCTCTTTTTGTGAAAATACTCAAATAAATATTCATATTATTTCGAAATTAAAACAATATGCGATAGTTTATCATATACAATGGGGTTAGTTCTTTTCGCGAACAAAATTAACACTTATGATGTATCTCTTTTTCTTGAAGTCTAAAAACGGTGTTCGCCATTGTCAGCGAGGAAGGACTGCACGAGTGTAAACCGCAATATTGTCCGCGAAACTATTTCAATTATAACCTAGTGCGCTTTCAGCTAAAGATATAGCTTTGCTGCTGCACTATCTAGCGTGCTTGTAAAGTTTTCCACCAGAAAAAAGAATTCGTAAAAAGAATTCGTAACTTACAGGAGATAACAATCGAAGCGATTAAATTTTTAATAAAGAAACTTTAATGTTCAAAAAAAAAAAAAAGAAAATTATTTCTTGCTTTTTATAATTCGTTCAAGTTTATCTGAGCAATTTATAAAAGAATTAATTTAATTATGTTCTATTACAATCATTGTTACATAGTCATTGCTATATAGAGTGAGAAATAAGACAATGGCAATTGGAATATCATGTTGTGTAATCAGTGCGTTAAGATATGCTCTCGTAAGTAAAATAAATGCGCAAGATAAGCTTCGTGAGAGATATCTTTTATCTTATTGTTAGAAGTTAACGAAAGAATTTAACATTAAAATTCAGATTCTAGGTTACCGTATATGCAATTGTGATTTTTAATATTTGCTTGATTTTATTACATTAACAATACAAGTAGGTATGTAAGTTTGCTTAGCCCGGTAAATGCAAATGCACTCTCTCTCTCTTTTTCCCTCTCTCTCTCTCACACACACGACTTTATGCTTTTAGCATACTTTTGGAAATTATAGCAAAAGAAATAACGTTATTTCCATTTAGTTTGATTCTTTGAGCGAATTACCACGCCGCTCTCGATCGAGCACAATCCGTTGAACACAATTATAGTTTAATTGGGTTCTCATTGCTAAATGAGATAATTCGTTTCCTTAGTGATTGGAAAAGAGTGTGCCAGTTCTTTGTAAAAGTACAATTATACGTGAAGAGATTTCACGGCTCAGCTCGACGATTTAAATTTTTTTGAATATATAATAAAGGTGCTGCCGTTGTGAAAGGCCGTAGATATGAAAGCGTACACTGTTAGAAATTTCTGTAGGAATTTTCAGACACGTGTGATGGAAGCTTTATACAGTTACCGTTTCTGAAATTTACTAAACGAGAATGAAAATTTCAGAAACGGTAACTGTATAAAGCTTCCATCACACGTATCTAAAAATTCTGTTACAATTTAGTAATTTTCAATAACTGTACCTGAATTCAACTTCAGACACACATATCTTAAATTTTGTACAGTTTAGTAATTTTCAGTAACTGTAACTAAAAATTGAAATAATTACAAAAATTTTTATCGGTTTATTAATTTTAATATATATGCAGTTTATAATTATATATCTTGGCACATAAATAGGAAGATAATATAAGCTAAATATGTTATATGCAAACAGTGTATACATACGTATATTATACGTGTGTTATGCTGAATATATGAAATGTATAGTCAAAAACTATT